CCCTCTCTCTCGCACTCTCTCTCTCTCCCCCTCTTTATCCCTCCCTCTCTCTCGCACTCTCTCTCTCTCCCCCTCTTTATCACTCCCTCTCTTTCTCTTTTTGCCTCATCCATCAATTAAAGACTTACAATTCTTAGTAAAATTTTCTCTCTCTCACACCAAATTTCCTTCTGTCAATCTCTTTCACCCTACATTTATTTTTCTCTCTCGCGATGTCTCATATCATTATTTTTCGGTTTTATTTATGTTTCCATCATTATCACTCTCTCTCTCTCTCTCTCTCTCTCTCTCTCTCTCTCACTCACTCACTCACTCTCTTTTTGCCTCATACATCAATTGAAGACTTACAACTCTTCGTAAAATACTATACACAACACACAGTGGCTACGTATATCTATAACAAAAGATAAATATAGCAATGAAATGAATTTTATGCTTCACGTAAATCATTATAAATACTTCATTATGTTGTTTGTAAATGTGGAACAAGTTAGATCGATAATATATTTCAATTAATTTTTTTCTTCTACACACCACAAAACGATGTACAATTTAAAAAATAGAGTACGGCAGGGATAAAAATCCAGCTGTCGGGATTTAACTTACAGTCTGCCCTATAAGTAAAAAAAAAGTTCAAAATCTTGGGTTGCTCAAAATCGGCATAAATATTCATAAAGGGTAAACATATAAAAGATCATAAAATAAAAATAATCAATTCAATATAACAAAACCTTAACTTTTCTCTGCTAGATAGATAATAAAATAAATAGAGTTTTTTTTCTTTTTGAAAATATATCACCAATTGAATTGTTGAATCAATTAATTACATTGCCAAAAATTGCGCGTATAACAAGCAAAATTTTAATTTTTTTTATATATTCTGAATCAGGAAAAAGTGCAAGCTAGAAAACCTAAACGAACTTGATGCAGAAGACGGAATTCCGATAAAAATTGAACTTTCAGCCACAATTGTTGTATTCCAATACCGCATAAAGAGCCCAATTTGTCTGTGCTAGATTTTCCGGTGTACAAATAGTACAATAAAAATATTTACTTGCAATGCATGTTGATAAACCAACTCAGACCAAAGAACCGGAAAAGATTTGTCTACTCATCCAGTCGATCAAAGTAAGACAAGGGATGATCCCAATCTTAATAAAAGAGGAAATCGCTGAATAAGAAGAACTCTCTGACAACTGAGTCCGTTTCCTATTTGCCAAGATAACTGTTTTGATTTTGAATCCCAGCCAATGGAAATTTAATTGGTAATAATACGTCCAATGTATTGCACCTTGTTCACAACACCCCACAGGTAGTTGGACGATAAGCCTGCATTACTTCATCCAATTGAAACCAAAAACTGAGATTTAAAAAGAAATATGACTACAACGCCAGTGCTTCATAACAGCATCTGTTTATAGACAAGAAAAGAAAGAAGTTTTTTTTATAAAAAAATCTTTCAACTTAATCTACCGACTGATATCTCTTTTGTTCACATGTACGTTTTTGCATTTTTAACTGGTCATTTTTTAACATACTAAAAATAGAAATAAAAATGATAGCGTGCTGATTAAAAAATTATATTTGCTATGTTATAAAAGAAACAAGCAAGAAACGTTAATTGATTTGTTAATACAGATAATAATTAATATACTTATTTATAGTTTAATCTTGTTTCTCATTGACACCTGGTATAATTAAGTATGATGAATGTGAAGTACGTGCAGCATTAAATTCATCAGGTTGGTATAGATCTCTTTTGTTATAGATATTTAGTCGCGTTGCATTTTTCTGTTTAACTTTATTTTAAAATATATTACAATGTAGTTTGGATAGTACATAAAAATAGGTTTTAATAAAAAATAGACTAACTGCAGTGTAAATTTTTTTTTTACGAGGGTTCGCAACAGCAGAGGTTATATCAACTCTCGAGGTGCCGATGTTTTTGAAAAAAACAAAAAATTGTACGTATTTATTTAGAAATCGTGAGATGCGGTCTGGTGTGATGTAGGTTTCAGAAAAACATTTTCTTTATCGTGCCAACGTTTCGACCTTTATTGAGATCACCTGCAGGACCTGGGATTTACAAACATTGTTTACATATAACAATTACATTTTGGATGTGGAAAAGTGAATTTATACAATGCAAAATATATTTTTTAGAAATACTTTGATTGAATATATAAAAAATATATTTTTTATATATTCAATCAAAGTATTTCTAAAAAATATATTTTGCATTGTATAAATTCACTTTTCGACATCCAAAATGTAATTGTTATATGTAAACAATGTTTGTAAATCCCAGGCCCTGAAGATGATCTCAATAAAGATCGAAACCTTGGCACGTTAAAGAAAATGTTTTTCTGAAACCTACATCACACCAGACCTCATCTCAGGATTTCTAAATAAATATCGATTACCGGTCACTAATCACCACACATTTGTAAGTATGGTGGGTTCGAATGCAGGGCCGCTGGATTCGAACCCGGGACCTTTACCTTACAGTGATGAGCGCCGTGTCAACTGTTGCGGTCACGGACGCCCCCTAAAATTATAGAAGTAAATATCAAAGTTTTTATAAGTAAATTATAAAAAAATGAATGTAATTATGGTAAAAAAAGATGGATTTAAAGTTCATTTTTAGGAGAAATTGTTTTGAAAGAACTTACTTTAAAATCACTCTTAAAAAACTAAACTCCTGCTTGTGGAAAAAGATTTAAATGTAAGTAAATCTTCTATTGACAATGGACTTTGTTTTACGTACTTTAAAAAAAATTCCGATGAAGTAAGCAGGATAAAGTTTGAAGAAACTAGAGGTAAAATGAATAGCAATTTCGTATTTAGTTTAGCACAATGATTACAGAAAATCGTGAAAAGTTGTTTTTATATACGAATTACAAATTAGGTCTAAGAAGGGGCAGCGACGAGGTTGGTGGGTCACGGATTTGGATCATACTTTTTTTGGTGATTTTACACTCCAAAATACTGACACTTCTTGTGATTAGGACCTGGTTTCTCAAAAAATAATCTTTTTAACGAAATTTTCCTTTTTTAAATATTTTTATTTCGCCGTTCTATTTGTTCAGATCAACTAGTGATAGGCATTAGCAACCAAATTTGCTTTTAGTGACTATGTCAATATATCATTTTAGAGCATTTTTTATGTAGATTGCAATAAAATTATACAAATGTAAACACTTTCCAAGTTTACCAAAAACCCAAAAAATTCTAAAAACTAAATATTTTTAAATCAATCTAGGTCATGCCAATTTTTTTTATTGAAATTGTAATTTGTTATTTTGGTTGGCTTCCAATTTATTATCTAAATTTTCGGCAATTACATTAATTGTTTTTCAAATTCACATAAATGATCAAATTAAAAGAATGGTGAAAAAACAATGGTTTTTTTTAATACATTTATTTGATGTGCACAACTACAAATATTGTATTAAGTAAATATGTACATTTATGCTGAAATTATGAATAAATAAGGTCATTTTCTTGCAATTTCTGGTTTAACATTTATTTTTGTAATAGCTACCGTTATTCTGACTAATTTTGAAATTGCTTTCGTCATTCATATATCAATTTGACTCGATCAATCCGCTAATGTTATGTTACCATTAGAAAAACAAAAATTTCGTTTTCTTAACTTTGCAGGAACTTAAGGAAATTAAAAAACCCAGAAATTATTGCAAGGTTTTAAAATAGAACTTACGCTTTAAAAAAAAAACTTGTTCATTTTTTCTAGGTTTAGAAGTTTTTGAGTAAACCAGAGTAGGCAATAGTAAGTTGGCCCATGTAAACCTTCTTACTCGACCATACTAAATTCAGTGAAAAATGTTCTTTTAAATAGTAAAATTGATATTATATTTTACTAAAGTAAACTTAAGAAAAAGTTTCAATTTAAGTGTATAATGTTTTACTTGGAAATACTGGCGAATTTTTTTAGCAACTTTATCTTGTCAGAATTGAGAAGCAGAAGAATAAGTCTATTATTTTATATAGTTTTATATAGTTTTATTATTTTATAAAATCCAAGTATTGTTGCAGTTTGATTGTTTTAGAATTTGTTACATAAATTATATTACGTATTTTTAAAATTCAAATAAATGATCAAATTGAAAGAATGGTGAAAAAACAATGGTTTATTTGATTTTCACAACGGAAAATATTGTATCAAGTAAATATGTACATAAATGCTGATATTATGATTAAATTATGAATAAACAAGGAGAAAATTCTTTTGTGGTTTTTGATTCAACAATTATTTTTGTAACAGCTACCACTATTCTGGCAAATTTTGCAATTGCTTTCGTCAATTTCATAATATCAATTTGAGTCGATCAATCCACTAATGAAAATTTATACCATTGGAACAACAAACATTTGATTTTCTTAACTTTGAACGAACTTAAGGAAATTAAAAACCCCAGAAATTATTGGAATATTTGAAACTAGAACTTAAGTTAAAAAAATAACTTGTACATTTTTTCTAGGTTCTAGGTTTTGCTCAATCATACTAAATTCGGCTAAAAATGTTCTTTTCAATATGAAAATTTCTGCATAAAGCATTCTTAAGCTTGATATTATATGAAGAAAAAGTTAAAATTAAGTGGATAAAGTTTCACTTGGAAATGCTGACGATTTTGTAGCTTCTTTATCTTGTTTATATTGACGAGCTTCGTTTGATTAAGTCTATTATTGTCTATAGTCTGACAAAAATAAAATCCACTGAGTAAGTACTGTTGCAGTTAGTACAGAGGGAAAATGACCGCTGGCGTCGTACATTTTCGACCTTCCAGATCATTATCTGCCTTTCTGAAAAACAAGGTCGACCCTCATCAACAGGAACGCTGGGAAAGATCCCTCAGAAGAAAAGAAGGAAAGTAGGAAAAGGAAACCGAAAGTGGCGTGGAGAAAGAGAGGAAATAGGAACGGCCGGAGAGGAAGGAAGGGACGACTCCCTCTTCATCGGCCGTCCGGCCAGTTGGAAGGGGGTTGGTATATATATGGCAACCCCGGAGGTCCTCCGCTTACAGTCTACCAGTGAAAGTGAAGATATGAGGGTAATTTCAGCGGCGTTAGTTCTCTTAGGCCTCGCAGCGTCCGGTGAGTGAAAGCCCAAGTGCAGCGTGTTACATCACGCACTCTTCTTGGTCGCCGTTCAAGTTTTCCCGTTACATAAACGGACCACTCCCTACGTTTCGTCACCCGTTCTCGACCTTTCGGTCCCTAGAAAGTAAAAATAGGTACCGACTATGGATTATTTTACCAACGATAGCGTCCTATTAAAGGCACGAAGGAATTACTTTCCCCAACAAGTCTGGGACTGTCTCAGACAAAGAAAACTCAAACCGACCATAATTTTTTTCGCAATTATTTTAGTAATGATCAACGGATTAGTTATTTTTTACGTAATACGTGTGCAAATGGTGTTATTTTATTGTGGATATAAAAGAATAAAGTGTAATTAAAAAAAAAAGATATATTCAGTGCCAAGTGGATTTTGCAAACACTTAAAACTAACATAAAAGTGAAAATTACACATCTCAAAATTTAAAATGATTTTTAAAATAGCATATTACGTATGCCTAAGTGTAATAGTAGTCATATAAACACTAAAGAAAATTTAAAAAATCCAAAAATCCGTCATTGGATAGTACAAAACTGAAATGCCATAATCATATTATTAAAGTATATAAATCAATTTTTAAATTGACAATATCTTCAATTATTTTCTGTATAATACTGCAAAATATTCGTTCTTTTATATATATATGTAACACAAATGTAGAAACTATTTATTAAAGTTCATAATTTTGATCGGTTTGAGAGTGCATGAAGTCACGATGATTTATCCTGTTTAATAATTCTGGCTAGTTCCAGCGAGGGCTAGCGGACCCAAAACGGAAATAATTGTCAATCAGTTCTACAAAACGTTGTACTCTATGGTTGCAATTTATTACCTTTTTTCACCTCCTGCCATGTAAAAAAACTCCTGACAAAATTTTTAAAAAAATCCCATTCATTGCAATTTTACAAAGACTACGAAATTACAAAATTATCGTTCTTAAATTATTAAACAAAAGATTTATTGGAATTTCCTAGTGTATTGGAAAATTGGAAATATTCAAAATAATTTTTTTTTTATTAAGTGGCTTTACAGCCCAGTTTGGGCCCCATGGCGTTTTGCCAGTTAAGTCCCTCTAAGAATTCTCCTGCGCTGGCTGAATAAATGTCAACTTGGTTTTTTTCTTTAAAGTAAACAAGTCAAATATTAAAAAATAAACCTTTTCAATATCCATTTAAGATGGAATCTCTTGGATTTTTTAAGATTATTTTATTTACAATCTTATTCTTCTTTCTGTCGTATTTTAACTTAGGAGCTGTATTTATTTATTTGTTCAAAAATAAAACAAACAGTAAGAAAAAGAACAACCAGAAAAAAACAAACAGATAAATTTCACGTAGAAGTTTCTAAAAAATTAGAAGTCATTTCATTTATCATTTTAAAATATCGACTGGATGTGGTTGTACTATATAAAATATAAAATGAATAAAAATTAAATAATCAAATATGCGGATTAAGTGTATAATTTTTATTTAATACTGATAGCTTTCAAGTTCATCTTGATGAAATGAGCTTGTTTTAAAAACTTCGGTGATGCAATAAGTCTGCTTGGCTTGTGTTTATATCATGTATCATGATAGAGTTATTTCTTTTTTTGTTTAAAAAAACACTTCAGGTAAATAATAGACCTAATTGACCAACCGAACGATTTAAAAAAAAGCTCAATTAATGTTGCTCAAGTGTAGTTCATTGACGTCCGCCTGAGCGAAAAGGTCAACAGTTCCTCAAGAAAAGCTCTCTCCATATTTGAAAACTGGGACACGTCTCGCCGGTGAGACGTGAAGGTTCCGCCTTTTGTTTCAAATGTCTTTTTCGAATGGGAAGCCGGGTCGTTGACGTTGATCGGTGAAAGACAAGGATGAGAATCGACAAGGCGTCCTGAATATCTGTAATCTATGTTAACGAGAGCACAACCGGGCCTATTAATATAAATAGTTAATAATCATATAAAAAATAATCTTTCAATATTTGTATTGCATTTTTACAGGCCTTGCGCAAAAAGAGGACTTCAAATGTCCCGACGACTACGGCTTCTACCCTCACCACCTGTCCTGCGATAAATACTGGAAGTGTGATAACGGCCAAGCCGAACTTAAGACTTGCGGCAATGGGCTCGCCTTCGACGACACCGACCCCAAGTACCTGAAAGAAAACTGCGATTACCTCCACAACGTCGACTGTGGCGACAGGACACAACTCGGTAAATACTTTACGCTTAAAAAACACTAAAGTTCAAATATCACTTTGAATCTTTAAAAATAAATTAACAATGTTTCTTAATTAAATTAAAAAGTTAAACATAGCAAAGATTAATAGTGGTAAAACTTTACGAAGTCATAAAGAGTTTATTCAAACAGCTTAAAACATATGATTTATGATATACACTACTAATCTATCCAAATTTATTACTAAAGTGTTTAAAACCCATACAGTCTACATTTTGTCCATTAAAATCATAACACCATAATTATAAATAATGAAGTTTTCTTTTTATAGCTGAAAGATGTTTAAAGAATAAGGAAAGGAAAGAATAACGGTCACCTTGGTATAGGTGTGGCTCCCCTTCCATTGATGATTACGTCATTTATTACCCAATCCACACCCAATCAACCTTCAAGTATGGTCCTCACCCCTCCCCGGTATTACATAAAAGACAATCTTTTACCGATGCCATAAGTGAAAGCGGTTTTTTTTCTTTCTCTCTCTCTTTTTCTTCCTTTCTTTATTTAAAAAAAAATCTTTTCTACCCTTCTACGGTCTTTACTAGAGGCTGTAAAGCCTTTCTTCGGCCGTCTAAGATTCAAACGGCTAGGGGGTTGCATCAACGGGGTGAAAGTCTTAAGTGAGTTGGGCAACACTTTCGACACCCGGGGTTCCGTCTTCGACGGCGGTTTTTTTTATATATCACTTGACCTTGACCTTTCACGGGAAAAAGTACAGTTTGAAAAAAAATTTTTAACACAAAAATAATAAAATTTTGTCCATGTAAGTTTGTAATTGTTACAAATACCTCAAAGTACACTTTAAGGAGAAGATACTAAACCCGCAACACCGGACTGTCGTGAAGGCGCAGTATCTACCCATTGAACTCCATAGAAAAACGTAAATTCTAACAAAATAATTTTTAAAAATATCTCAAATTTTTGGTCCCTTTAAAGAAAATTTCCACAAAAAAGAAGTATAAACGTACAATGAAGCAGGTTGAACCGTCATAAACGGCGAGACTTGGCGAATCAGGACCAACATTCAAAAATAGAGTGACGATTAAAATATTCCAATCCTTTGAAAATCGGATTTCGCCACTTGTTCCCGGCCGCAATTCCCTTCACTTTTACGAAATTCGTACACGGGACGGAGAACTGTTTTAAAATTCAAATTTACATCCCTGGCTCCCTTTGCAATAATTGTTCGGACGATTAAATCATTAAAGCATGTCTGACTCCAGACAAAGAAACAATTCAGTTAAACAATTACAAAGTTAATAATTCGTTTTGAAACCTGGAGTAGTTTGTTCTTCGAATAAAGAATCGTTTCATTTTACAAGACAAATTATAAGGACAGGAATATAAATGGTTATGCAATTAGTATTTTGATATGTAAAAACAAGATTATCAAAGTACACAATAAAAAATATATTTCAATATAAAATAACAACAAATGTAAAGTGAGAAAACAAATGAAAATGTCTTATAAAACTTAATATGGGGGGGGGGGGTAGACCCATGAAGACAAAAACATTTTACCTTCATAGACACATGAAAGTAAAAAAACCAAGTTATTTTCTCATGTCGCGCTTTCAGCTGTATTTAACGCCTTCCTCAGGAGTTCTCCATAGAGACGTTTCCTAAATACAGCCGAAACTCGAAATCAGAAAATGGTTTTTTTCTTTCATGGCTTCATCCTTGATTTGCTTACTTTATTATTTATAACTGATTTACTTACAACTAGAGATTATCAAAATAAATATTACACAATTTTTTTTGCAACCTCTCCCTTCTCTTATTCTCTCTCTCTCTCTCTTTCTCTCTCTCTCTCTCTCTTTTAATATCTCTCGTTCTCTCAAAATTTCTCACTCTCTCTCTATCTCTCTTTTGCTCTCACACACACAATCACACCAATGATCGAATAAATGCAAAAACCTACTAAACTACTAACAAAAGAACAAACAAACAGAAACAATAGTACACCTAATATAGTTAGGGTATTTTGAAAACTATTCAATTTTTTTATATGGTTAAAATGTGAAATTGTTCAGTTTTTGTAATTTGGTTTTTATTTTGTAGAACCACCAGTACAGACCCCCCACTGCCCAAGATTGTACGGAATCTTCCCCGACGACGCCAAATGCGACACATTCTGGAACTGTTGGAACGGAGAAGCCTCCAGGTACCAATGTTCTCCCGGTCTCGCCTACGACAAGGACGCCCGTGTCTGCATGTGGGCCGACCAAGTCAGCGACTGTAAAGTCGAAGGTAAAAATTGAAAGACGCCCTAGTCGAATTCGGAGTGGCTGACGTTGGTTATCAATTCGCAGAAGTAGCAGGAGGTTTCAACTGCCCCACTCCGTCAGAGGTCCCAGCTGCTGGAACCTTCTCCAGACACGCCCACCCCGACGACTGCAGAAAATACTACATCTGTCTCGACAGCACGCCAAGGGAATACGGCTGCCCCATCGGAACCGTCTTTAAAATCGGTGATACCGAAGGAAACGGCTCCTGCGAAGACCCCGAAGACGTTCCCGGATGGTAAGTTCTCCTTAAAATCTCGTGGAATGATAACAGCTCATTTGCATTGAATAATTCTTTTTTTAATTTTTTTAAATCATTGCATTGCCTTGCTCTTGAGATCAAAACGAGAAAAAACAGAGTATTGCGCATTGCATGAAGAGTTTCAGTGAATGCTTCACAAACAAATGACTTCTGCTATTTTCTATGGATAAGTCGTAATTTATTTAACTTTATTAAGGAAAATCTGCACAGGTTCACTGAAATTCATGCATCTTGATATTTCTTATTTTCGACTATTAACAAAGCATGCCTTGCTCTTTATTGCGTCTCTCTCTCACACTCACTCTCTAACTCTTACCTGCCCGCCCCCTTACAGCGAAGACTACTACGGCGAACTGGACCTGAAGAGCATCAGAAAGAGCGAGCTGGCCCTCGGAAACGGCGGAGCCTCTAGGCCTCAAGGAAACTCGAAATCGGGCTCATCCAAGCCCAGGCCGCAGGCTTCACCCAGGCCGCAGCAGCACCCGGACCAATAAATAGTACAGACCATCCTACAAGACTGATCACACAATAAAAAAAACCTCCAATAATTTAAATAAATCCCTTCAACCCTTCCTTCCCCTCCGCCCGCTCCCGAATCCCGTCCTAGTTAAACACGCCAACTAAACAAACTGTACATTGTTGAAATTGTATCTTTATTATTATTATTATTATTTTAATTTTATTATTTTGATAATTAAAATAGTTGTTTCTTACCTTTTCTTTTATTTGATCAGCCTTTGCCTTTAATTCTATCTGTTCAGATCTTTACTATAAAAGCATGCTTTTTTATGATATGCACAACGACTGCGCATGCTAACTGAGAATGCAGTTTTCTCAGCATCTGCCCATACTAACTAATAAATAATTTTTTACCACGCATTGTTACGAATGATAATATTTAGCAATAACAATGACTGATTTATATATTTATAAACTAAAACATAAAAATGAATTAATAACTTACTGACATTTTGATAACTTTCACAAATCTTTCTTTCAATGCTACAAAAACAAAAAAAATATTATGAAGAATAAAACTTGTTCCAAAATCAAATATTAAAGGTTTACAACGATTGTCAATTTAAAAAATATTAGTATTAATAATACACTGAAATATTGCTGTTAATATAAATTAATTATTCAAGAAAAATTCAATGCAGATAACCATTTCATAGAGCAAAAAAATCATCGTACCTAATTTTATTATATTTTACATCAGTTTTTTTCTTAATTTTTGTATAATTATGTTATTTAAAAGAAAGTTTCTTTAGGATACGTAACTCGTTCACATTTTGGACATACGGTCGGTCAAGTTCCACGGTTTCCAAACAGAAATAACGAGATTCGGAACAATCCAGTCCTACACTGGTTTAACAAGGCAGTTCTCATTTCACTTTCTGGCCCGCTTTCGAAAAAGTCGCCTCTCACTCGCTTTGTCGCCTGCCGTTTCGCTATCAGAGCTAGAAAAACTGTCATTTAAAATTAAATATCGAATACAGTTTTATTAAACGGGGAAGGCAGAAAAAGACCTAATACTCCAAGAAGAAAGTAGCTTATTTTATTATATTAATATTATTTTGAAAGGGTTTTATATTTAAATACAACAAGAAAAAAACATCTTATGCCGTCGCCAGAAGTCACGCATTCATCCCAGATTACTCGATATTCCTTGGGGCTTATTTTGTAATAAATCATAGTTTGAAATTGTCAGTTTGACAGACTTGATGATTTGCACGAATTGCACCCTGTTTTCCTGCGTCATCAACGAAATACGGTGCGTCGTGTTGAAATAACTGCATTTTGCGCAGTTAACCTTGTTTGCATCATTTTCAACAAGCAGTTAAAATTATTGTTTATTTAATTTAGATTTTATAGTTCACAGTATGTATCGTTTATTAAAACAAGCATATAATAATATAAAAACACGTAATTTTTCTAAAACGGTGGGTGCAAAATATTTTACGCCTCACAAACCTAGCGTTTCTTTTAACTAATGCCATTCGTTTTGATTCTCTTTCGTACGTTCTACTACAAATGTCAGTATTATGCCAAACATAAATTTGACTTTAAATCTAGTCCATTTTAAAGGTTGTCCACCATCCGCCGGTCCCATCAACTTCTTATAGGGTGGGTAATTGTAAAACCCTAATGAGAAGTTAATATATGCCAATTTTTGCATGATTACTTTGAAACCTTATAATTAAATATAATCCCATGTGCAACGATTTTTTATGATACATGATCAAGGTTTACAGTTATTTTACCAACTTGTCGCCGCGTTGAAATAATTTTCTCGTCAATTTTGATATTTTCCAATGGTTTTTAATTAATGCTATTGAAGAAATGAATGCAGGGCCGGTGGATTCGAACCCTGGACTTTTACCTTACAGTGATGAGTGCCGTGTCAACGCCTAAACCGTTGTGGCCACCGACGCCCCCCTGCCAACGAAACATTAAAAGTTGTTTCATCATGGCTTAATTTTTAGTCTGTTCATTTTTCTTCTGGCTATTTACCAGATTGTACTTTTAAATATATTTTAACATTTGAGGTTTTAACAAATCTTAGTTTGAAAGACATGATGGATAAAAGATAAACATTTTTTGCCGCGTTATCAACGAAATATGGTACTTCTCTTTGTAAAAGGACTTCTTAAGTTAAACTTTGTAAAAGATTCATAAGTAAAATTAGTTTATCGCTTGATTTTATGAACATGAATGTGCATTAAAAACGGTGGATAGAAATATGACATAGCGTTATGTTAATATGATCGAAGGTGAACCAATTTTTGCCGCGTCGCCAACGAAACATTAAAACTTGTTTTATCATGGCTCTGTTTTTAGCCTGTTCACTTTTTTTATTGCCATTTAGCAGATTGAATTTTCAAAAATATTTTTAATATATGATGTTTTAATAAAGCTTAGTTTCAAAGACTTGATGGATAAAAGATAAACATTTTTTTGCCGCGTTATGAACGAAATATGGTACTTCTCGTTGCAAAAAGGACTTGTTAAGTTAAACTTTGTAAAAGATTCATAAGTAAAATTAGTTTATCACTTGCTTTTATGAACATTAATGTGCATTAAAAACGGTAGAGAACCAATTTTTGACGCGTCACCAATGATAACTTGAAACTTGTTTTGTCATGGCTCAATTTTTAGTCTGTTCATTTTTCTTCTGGCCATTTAGCAGATTGAAGTTTTAAAAATATTTTTAACATTGAGGTTTTAAAAAAATCTTGTTTTGAAAGACATGATGGATAAAAGATAAACATTTTTTTGCCGCTTCACCAACCAAATATGGTACAGTTGTAAAAGGAGTTCTTAACTTAAACTGTGCAAAAGATTCTTAGGTTAAATTAGTTTTACACTAATGTGCATTAAAATCGGAAGATGGTTAAAAATCATTGGTTTATTTTTCCCACCAAATCTCTTTTTCTTGTGCAATCTATTCTCTTTTGAGGTTTCACCAATTCCACCAAATCTGTTTTTCGAAGATGGTTAAAAATCATTGGTTTATTTTTCCAACCAAATCTCTTTTTCTTGTGCAATCTATTCTCTTTTGAGGTTTCACCAATTCCACCAAATCTGTTTTTCGAAGATGGTTAAAAATCATTGGTTTATTTTTCCAACCAAATCTCTTTTTCTTGTGCAATCTATCCTCTTTTGAGGTTTCACCAATTCAACCAAATCTGTTTTTCTATGTGAAATCTGTTTCGAAGATGGTTAAAATTCAATGGTTTATTTTCTCACCAATTTTTTCCACTTCCCAAATCTCTTTTTCGTATGAAATCTCCTTTTTTAAGATAGTAAAGGATCATTTTTATTCTTTAAATTATGTACGATTTGCAGGAAAAGATATTGTTGAAAAATAGATGTTTTACAATATGAAATTGTAGTTTAATGTGAGACTAATTTTGCCAATTTACCAGCGAAATAAGAGACATTATCACATCACATTTCCGCTAAATATGCCTGTAAATTTAAATTTATGGTATTTATTTTTACGACTCTCGTAATATTTAGTACAATTCTTTTCAACTTTTTCAACAAGTAAACGATTTTGCCCAATCTCACTGAATGTACTTAGCGAAGTAAAATTCTCTCATATTAGCACCGAATTTGCTGTTAATTTATGAAAAAGCGTGAAATTGTTGTTTCTAAAACAAACAAAGTAAAATTTTAAAAGTTTTTTCACTTCATTTCTTTGCCTACTATTAAACTGAATGGACAGGTACAAACGAGCAGGTGACATTATTATTATTATGTTATGATGTCCTATTTAGATAAGTTGAACGAATTCCGCCAGAGGGTCGCGATGGGCGAAAGCATTTTTCCAAAATAAAAATCAATTAAAATTCCTGTCAAAGTCGTCGCCTTTGGGCATACCCAAGGACTTGGGTCTTTTGGAAAGCCGGCCTTCCCAGATATTCCGCTTTGGACAAGGTCGGCGGAATATTGTTATTTTACTTTATCGATTATGCAAATGATCTTCCCCCGGAGGTACGCGGCAGCCAGGTGGCAGTCCTCCTACCGGGTAGGGGGCGACCCGGTGGATTTTTCCCCTTCAATTCCACACTGAAATTCCTTAATGCCCATAATTGTTTACATAATGGACACTGATGAAATCACAGCGGGCTTTAACGCCGCTGCGTTGAAATGATATAACTTTGGAAATTGTCGTCATTTTTCCCCCCTTTTTTGATTTTACATAATACCGGAAAACCAACGGTCCACAGTGCTAAATTAGACATAAATAAACTTTTGATATAAAAATTAAATAAACTATTTTATAGTTTAAATTCCAGACCTAACTATACTGATAATCAAATTAAGATTTTCGCCCAACATTTATTCACTAACAGAACAGCCTGATTTCACAAACAAAGCATTGTTTTATGCTTTAAATTTCAAATTTTTAGAATATGATCAGAAGCAGTTTAATCATTCCCACATAATATATCATATCACATTATATTTCCGTGTATTCTTCACTTTCGTTGTTTATTTTTTCCGTCTGCTAATGTCTGCCTCTCTGTCCCTTTCTTAATCTTTTTTCGGCCTTGTTGCTAGTTTAACTCTATCAGAATGTAACCTCCCTTTGATCTCTTTGTCTCTCTCTCTCTTTCTGGTTGTTTATGTCTGCTGATGACTGTCTCTCTGCGTCTAACTTAATTAATAACTAACTTTTTCTTGCCTCGTTGCGAGTTTATCTCTCTCAGAATTTCATTTCTCTCCCTCTCTATCTCCTTTTTTTCTGTCTGGTGATGTCTGTCTTTCTATCCCTCTCTTAATATTTTTCCTACCTTGTTGCCAGTTTAACTCTATCAGAATATAATCTCCCTTTCTTTCTTTGTTTCACCCTCTTTCTGGTTATATATGTCTGCTGATGCCTCTATCTTAACTTTTTTATTGCCTCGTTACCAGTTTATCTCTCGAAGAATTTCATTTCCCCCCTCTCACTTTCTTTTTCTATTACTCTTGCATACCTTTCGTTTTTTTCTGTCTCTCTGTCCCTTTCTTAATCTTTTTCCTGCCTTGTTGCCAGTTTAACTCTTCAGAATATAATCTCCCTTTCATCTCTCACTCTCTCTCGCTCTCTCTTTCTTTCTTTGTTTCTCCCTCTTTCTGGTTATTTATGTCTGCTGATGCCTCTATCTTAACTTTTTTTTTGCCTCGTTGCCAGTTTTATCTCTCTAAGAATTTCATTTCCCCCTCTCTCTTTTTCTTTTTCTATTACTCTTGCATACCTTTCGTTTTTTTCTGTCTTTCTGTCCTTTTCTTAATCTTTTTCCTGCCTTGTTGCCAGTTTAACTCTAACAGAATATAATCTCCCTTCCATCTCTCTCTCTCTCTCTCTTTCTCTCTCTCTCTCTCTCTCTCCTCACTTTTAATCACTGTCTAGACCAATTAATACTTTTACAACTGATGTTTGTTCCAAATTTCAGTTTAAAGACATGACTTTGAAAGTTTGATCAAAGTGGAGGTTGTTTTAGGTTTATTAAGGATGTGAACTTCACTTAAATTATTGTTTTGTAAAAAGAAAGTTGACACATAGAAAATATTATTATTTTATCCAAAATAGGCTATTGCCTAGCGCATCGTACTTTCAAATCTGTTTGCCGGCTAAGATTTTATTGAATTTATGCCAAAGAATTTTCGCACTTAATTTATCTCTTATGTTTCACGATAAAATATCCTGATAAATCATTTTTATTCGATTGCTACTCAAATATTTTATAAATGCTGTTGAGGATCTTGGTAAAAATCGGGTTTGAAATTCAGGATCGGTTTCTTAAGTGTGTCACGGGGTCTTCAACTCGTTGGGCAATTATAAACTTTTTTTCCGACAGTGTCCTTTTATAGGTAAAGCTTGGATACTTGTGGCTATAGTTAGGTGATGTAGGTCGAGGAAAGGAAGAACGGCAAAGAGAAAATAGGGAATAATCTTTCCGATTTCACCCCGATAAGAAAGGCCGCCTCGGGCGGGTCGGCTAGATGAAAAACAAATCCTTAATTCTCACAATTACGAAATTCCACGATGTAAAATATTCATAATTCGAACAACTCAAGGTTTCTAGGACGCCCTTGGGAATATTCATAATCTATTTATTAAAAATACACCCAATCACATGTTAATAAATAATAATAAATTCAAGAATGATAGATAAAATATTACTACTTTTTGTTCTTCACTGATCAGTGGGCGAAACAATTCACGAACATGACCTGATTTGTTTGATAGTTAACTACAACCGTATAAAGCAGGAAGGCAATACAGCCTACCCAATATGAAATTTTTCTTCTCGTCCTCTTTTTCATCTCGAGACCTTGTCCCAAATGTCTCTTTAAGTCGGTCCGTTCCTAAAATATGTTTATATTCACACAAATGAAGACAGTCTGGCATAACTTGATCCTCGGCCGAAAAAGTGAAACCTGCTGGCATACTTACAATTGGATCATCTGTATTGTATTGCACAATTGCAAAAGGGCTCTGGAACAAATGTCAACATCCAAAATCAAACAGTTTTTACGTAAAACACTCAGAAATGATTATCACTTTACTTAATGTTGTGTAAGTTGTATAATGGACGTAGACGACGTCAATTGCCTTAAATTTCTCATTTAATACAGTAAAAAGTAGTAAGTAAACCATATATTCTAATTAGTCATGATAATAAACAAACATCATAACTAAAATCTGTGGGGGCGTCGGTGGCCGCAACGGTCTAGGCGTTGATGACACGGCGCTCATCACTGTAAAATAAAGGTCCCGGGTTCGAATCCAGCGGCCCTGCATTCGAACGGGCTTTTTTCAAGAACAACGGCACCCCGAGGATTGGTATAACCTCTGCTCTTGCGAACACTCGCAAAAAAAAAAAAAAAAAAAAAAAACATACCGCCCACCTAAAATCCCAAAATCTGCCAGAATTAAATTTAAATCTTTCTTGACGCCTGTAAGGCAATTTTCATGAAGACCCAATGTGACTCAAGCGGACAAGCTGTTGAAAAATAATTTTATTATTTTATAATAATTTTATTTTATAATTTTATTTATTTTATTAAAAAAATCTCACTCATCTCATCTCTCTCCCTATCAATCTATCTTCTTAGGTGAATCTATTTGAATTTTAGTTTTTCCCACTCTCTCTTTCCTAATTTTATTTTTAAGCATCTTTTTCTGGTCATCTCTCATTTTCTAATAGTCTGTCTGCCGATCTATCTAACCAATCCATAAACTTTTCTATTTATGTTATACCTCAAACAACAAATACTGTCAATCCCCTACTCATTTTTTTCTATAACTTTTAATAAATCTTATCGATCTATTTAATATCTATTTCTTTTCTCGCTGTTCTTCACTTTTCTTTCTTTCTCTCCCTCTCACTCAATTCACTGAAATTCTCTCCCTCCCTCTCTCATTTTTCTAAGTCTGTCCATCAAACTTTTAGTTTCTATCGTCTGATGATCTTGTTTGTTGCACATGCACTTTATCTCTCTCTCCTCTCTCTAAAAATATCCACCAAACTTTTTGTCTTTTTATCTGCCAGTCTGATGTCCTTTTTTCTTGCACTTGCGTATTTCTACCGTTCTGTCTGTGTGTCTGTCTCTCTCCCTCCCTCTCTCGCTCCCTCCCTCCCTCATTCTTTATAAAAATACCACCTAACTTTTTGTCGTTTTATCCGTCAATCTGATGATCTTTTTTCTTGCACTTGCATTTATTTTATCTTTCTTTCTCTCCCTCTCTCTCACTCAACACACATACACATATACAAAATTTTTAATCCAGATTTATTTATATTTCTATCGCTGTTTCTTTCACTCTCTCTCTCTCTCACTCCCTCTCTCTCTCTCGTACAACATTTGTATGTCAACTTGTTTTATATTTAATACCTATTTCATACCATCACCCTGTTTCCATCTCACATTCTCAACCCTCTCTTTAGTCGTTTAACTCATTGACATATTTACATTTAATTTTTTTTCTCTCTTTTGATTCAGTCTTGTTCTTTCTCTTTCCCTCTTTTTTCCTGATTTGTTTTGTGATAGTTCGTTCTAGTGACAATCAGTGTATGTAACTGCACATCAACTAGTTTTCTTTCTATCTTTCTCTCACACTTTCTTATCTCCTTTATCTGTCTCTCTCCTTCTTACCCTCCCACAACCTTTCTTTGCCTGTTTATTCCAATGAGGGGTTCCAATACGTGAATTTTTATACCTTTCTTCAGTTTTTGGCGATTTTAACCCTGAATGCCTTGTTTTTTTTTTCATCATAACTGTTGAGCACGTTTTAAAGTAAACTAAATTTGCTAAGATTTAAGATCAGAACCACTTCTGCAGCTTCGAAATTTTTTCTCGCTTATCCTTCATAATTCGAGAATGAGCCAAAACAAACACACCCCTTTGAATGTAAGAACTTGCCCATAGCATAAATGAGATGCTCACAAAATCCTCACTTATGTGAAAATACGTAGGAGGGAGGGGTTTCTCTATGGATCCCCTCAACCTCTTCTGGATCCATACAATATCGAAATTACTACAGAAACACAAAATATTGATCAAAAATTTTGAGTTCGCAAACATCGATAAATTCAGAAATGCTATATCCCGGAAACTATCGGGTTTGCAGAGACGGTTGTGATCTCGAATTGTAGCAAATTTAGACTAGTTATTCTTGGTTAAAAACGCCCAAGACTGAAGAAATGTCGAAAATTTCGCGGTTTTTTGATTTCTGAGAAGGTTGCTATCTCACTCGAAAGCTTATGATTTTATGATTGTCCATTGGGCCAAATAGCTCAGAAAGAAATTAGAACTATCGTATCTGACGCAAGGTTGAGGTACATGGTTACTGGACACCACCATCTCTTTTATTCTGTCTTAAACTATTCTACTAAACTTTCTTTGCTTTCTTCTTTAAGTTTTTTATACTATACAATCATAACAGAGAAATACATAATTTTGTAAAATAAATTTATTTGTTTTGAACATACGCACCTACTGTTCGAACCTGTATCTGTTTATTAACTGGAATGATTTTTTTTTACAGCGAGGATTATTACGGGGACGTAGACCTCAAAGCCCTGAGGAAATTAGGCCTTTGAAAAGATGAGTGTCGCCAATTCTCATGCTGCTAGTCCACAACAAAGCGTAGGGCCTTAAATCAACGCCCTGTGCCCAAATCCATAAGAAGAGGGTTACATATAATTTTGTTTTTCACACAAAGGGAAACGACTTTATAACAATTTATTACCGTATCGACTACAAACAAATGAACAAAAAAAGTAATAAGAGTTTATGTTTGTTTTTTATAAGGAACGTCAACTATAGTTTGTAAATGTTTAAGTTAAAAAATAAATAAATATAAACAAGCTGTTTTTTTTTAATACTTATAATCTATGATCCTTATGCCAATATGTTTATTTATTTGTAGATATGTAATATACTTTTGAGTTTTGACACTATTTTTTGCGATGTTCAAAACGTAATGACCTCAACAGAGCAGCCCTTTGGTAATGGAAGAATCAACTATACAATTCCGTACTGGAATACGAGTACCATGTGACCAGGGCTAGGAACATTAAGCTACACGACAACAATGCAAAGAATTCACACGTAGTAGGTGAGGTGGTTTGGACCACTCACAGGATTTGATGGGCATCACCGGGCACCACAGATCAAGAAGATGAAGGGTTGATGTGCTTGTCATTTCCTCTATACTATGTTGTCTAAATAAGAGGAAATCTCCCAGTGCATTCGGTTTCACAAAATCGAGCAAGATCTTGGCAGGAAGATTCGACAGGTTTGTCAACTTGCTCAGGAACACTGGCTTTGAGGGGAAATTCTACCTCAGCAATTTGCTACTGCACCACCCCCAAAAGCCAAACTGTTATTAAATAAAAAACGAATAGGCGTAGTTGGAATTGAGAGGAATCTTCCAGAAATAAGAAAAGCTACCGATGGAAGCATTTCAAGTAAGTTAAGAGGGTAGAGTTTTGCCAATTCAGCAAGACATAAGGAAAACTACAGATTTTGTTAGATAGGAGTCGAAGGATTTTTCGGCTGGTTCGGTCAAAACATACTGTTTGAGCTCGTGCATTTTGCCCAATATTTTAAGAATACTAGACCTTCGGGAAAATGTTTCCTTTGTGATTTCCTTTTATTTTCCTTTTCCCTTTTCCTTCTGTTTTGAACCTTTTAGAAGCGTAAAATGAGTTTCGTTAATAAATTTAAATTTATCGTTGGGCGTTGAGAAATAGATAACGCAGGCCAGTTGTTGACCGAGGTAATCCGCCTTCGAGCAACAATAACACTCCGCTCGGCGGTGGGTTCATTCGGTTCTCAGGCCTTGACCAGTGCGACTCCATTTTTTTGTTTTTTTTCGCTTCACCCTTCTTTTTCGTCATCGTTTCGCTCGTTTGTCTTCGAAGAAAAAAAGGGAGAACTTTATCGACACTCGGGGAATCATCGTCCCGAGTACTTGGTATCGCCTGTGCTCGATCAGCCCAAATCGTGAGAATCACGGCCAGAAAATTTCGCTGCGCGACCAGCAGAAGCAGGACTTCGTCGATCTTCGCTCATCCGGACAGCCGGAAATCCACCGCAGGGACTTCGAATCTCCTTCGTTCATCGATCCATCAACGTGAACATCGACATCGGACTTCAAAATTTGTATTTATACTTTCGTTACAATTTGCATGCAAGCTTGCTTAATCATTTTTTTTTCTCTCACCTCAAATGCGCATTTAAGGAACAATTATTCATTTAATATTATTCACCCCTTACTTTCGATTATTTTGTTTAGTTTTGTTACTAAATTTTAAGAGTTAACCCTTATTTCGTTAATTTCTGTTCATCTTCGATAAAATCGACTAAAGGTAAATCTGATTTAAGATTATCCGGATCCGGTATTTTCGTGACCAACTTTGTTATTCAATCGATAGCAATATTTTGATTTTCAAGTTAGAATTTAATTTATTACAATTTACTTATTATTTTGTTTTGTATCAATTGGTTATTTTAATTTGACTGTTTCATTCAGCAGAAGATATTGCATGTTATTTTTATTTAATTTAATTTGTACTCTCACGTCTAACGATAATATTACGTTGCGTCAGATAATTTTCAAAGTATTAATAAATTGTTTTTTATTTTCAATATTAATTTCACTAACACTTATTTATTAATTTTCATTTTTAATTTGTCATCTCTTTTCTCCACTACCCCTTAGATCGTCCTCATCCTCCCACCGATTACAGAAGTGGAAACCCTATCAGATCGGCGATAAACCGGCATCTATCGTCCCGGATAAGGAGATTTGTCTCTTCAATTAGAAAGACCCCTCCTCCCAACACATACTTTCTTTACTGTAGATGAGTTGTGGTATGGGATACTTCATTGGGTGTGAATGGTTCTAGTGGATAGGAGAAAGGTACTATTGATAGGTCTTGTTCTATGGTAATATTGAAGTCGGGGTCATTCAGGTTAGGACGAGGTGAAGAAGGCTGGAGAGACAGGCAAATATGTAGTCTTTTTCTTCGTCAGACTATCTCCATCATCTTGGTGAAGAGAAAGAACGGATTTATAAGATTCTTTTCGGCACCCACATAGCCACCCTAGTGGTTTTAATAATTTCTCCATAGGGGCCTACCCTAAGGTTTACCCCTTCCCATGGTTGGATGGTAGGCACCGTTGCCATGAGCCATTCCTTGGCACTCTGATTTTCACAGGTTATCAGGACAGCCCCTTTCTCAACATATCCATTCCTGAACTGAGGTCCCTGGGAGTTTTTACTCTTCCAGACCTGGGCCAGGATGGCCCGCTGAACGGCTCTGCCCTGATCAGTTGTAAGTTCTTTTTTCGGGTATTCCTCCAACACCACTTTTTAAGCGCCTTGAGGGCTTGCTGGTATGTCCCAGAGCCCTCCCCCCAACCATGTTGGGGGGGGGATGACCCGCTCCACACCGCTTCCCCCAGTTTTGCTCTTTTTGGGGCATGTCCTAGGAGCACTTTCACTTGATGATGGAGTGCTACCTAGTGACCTGCCCCTTTTGGTAGGCGTTGGCCCCGGTTTTTTGGGGTCAACACTTCCAGTGGTTTGCCCTGGTGCCGGAGTCCGGAGGTGTACATTGGGGTTTTGTCTTCCTTTCCTGATTCTTTTAGGATAGGCTCCCCCCGTTGTTTGGCTCTTTGAATGGCCATTTTGCGTCTTTGTGCCCCATTTGTTTTTTTGGGTTTTAGACGTGATTCCTCAAACTTCTCCGTCACCTCCATTGGAGTGGTTTCGTCTTCTGGTTTTTTTTCCCGAAGACCGCCCACTTCTGCAGAAGGCGACGCAAGAAGATTGTCTTCCAGTTCTTGGGTTATGGGAATTGGGGAGGGTTCGGAGCCCTCCTCAATTTCCATGAGTTAATTTTTGGGGTCTTCCTTTGCAGGTTCCCCCGGTGTTTTTTTGTGTACTGTAGGTTTTTCCATGTAGTTCCCACGAGTGAGAGGGATCTAAAAGTCCGCACCGGAGGTAACCCTCTCTCTGGTGTAAGGCTATTTACTCAAGGGTGTCGCTTGGTGCCCTCGAGGCTCCGTTATTGGCACAGTTACCCCTGTGCCGTTCATCCATCGGCATGGATCGCATAACACCTTGGATTTGGGCTGGAATGTGGGACTAGGATAGGGTGTAGGGTGGGAAGAGGGGTGAGGTATTGGGTTAAGGATTAGGAGGTATCAGGTCCAGCTCCTGTCCCTCCATACCCCTCTTTCCGTTTGTTAGTTAACAGGGTACACCCGCATGAGCTTCGTGAAGGTGGAAAGTCGGAGTTGGGTATTGAGGCTATTGGAGACGCATAGTACCCGTTCGTACCCCTAGACCTAGATAGGAGAAAGGTACTATTGATAGGTCTTGTTCTATGGTAATATTGAAGGCGGGGTCATTCAANATGGTTGGCCACTTCACATCTGGTCGATACATCCTCCCAACACATACTTTCTTTACTGTAGATGAGTTGTGGTATGGGATACTTCATTGGGTGTGAATGGTTCTAGTGGATAGGAGAAAGGTACTATTGATAGGTCTTGTTCTATGGTAATATTGAAGGCGGGGTCATTCAAGTTAGGACGAGGTGTAAGAAGGCTGGAGAGACAGGCAAATATGTAGTCTTTTTCTTCGTCAGACTATCTCCATCATCTTGGTGAAGAGAAAGAACGGATTTATAAGATTCTGTGGGTTGCTGTCTGAAGAGATTTCTCCTTCGTAGTTAATGACACTAACCAGATTCAAATTACTTCTAATCAACTGGGCAAAGTCCTTGAAGGTTATTTTTAGGAGAACGAGGCAAAGTAGGTTCAGTTATGCTAATTAGAATAGCTAATTTCAGTAGCTTTCAAACATTTGAATAACCTTATAAATTGGCTAAGATATGAAACGAAAACTATATCAACAAATTTAAATAAAAACAAAGAGCATATCTGAAAATGAAACCAGCGAGTGCACATCATGTATTCTGAGCCTTGGGATCGATGATCCTCCAATGAAAGTTCCTCCATTGAAAATTCAACAAGGCAGCTCGTCGAATTTCTCGAAGGTCCTATAAAGGTGCAAGGAAGTCTCTTCATTCTGCACAGTGAACAGGGCTAAAGATCTTGATCTGATTTCTAGCTAGAAAAGCTCAACTTCCCCATTAATGTTCAGACATTCGGCAGTAGCGTAATGGTGTTGCAGTTATAATCTGTTGTTGGGGGCTCCGCTCAAGGAGATGGGAAGTTCCTTCTGGCTAATAAAGAAAGGCTTGGTACCACTGAAAAGCTTGGTTACATCTTCCGTGATGAGCCGATAGGAGGTCTCATTTTTATCCAAATCTGTTTGCAAAGAGTACCTCTACACTCTGCTTGGTACTGCATCTACCGACTCCCACTGCACCAATGACCAGCTCCTCGATATCAGTTCCCAGACTCCGACCATCGACTCCTCCCATATCACTCCATATTCATCACATCATGGCTATACTGAATTTTGTTCTGTGAAAGGGATCCGCTGGCTCAAAAGTTTAGGAAGCCCTCGACTATACAATAGGATAGTGGAAGGTTATGGTGTTTTTTATACTTAGAAATCACTGGGATGAAGAATGATTTCAACTGGTATGGGAAGTTTGTGGGTCTAAAGAAAGATTTTTGCAGTGATTAGGTTGAAACCAAGTTTCTTTAGTGGTACATGCCTCAGTGCTATGTGGTTTACTTCTGTATATTTCTGTCTGAAGAGATTTCTCCTTTGTAGTCAGTGAAACTAACCAGACTAAAATTACTTCCCATTAACTGGGCAAGTCCAAAGCCATGGTTGGCCACTTCACATCTGGTCGATACATCCTTAAAAGTAATTTTGGGCAAAGAAGGTCCAGTTTTGATAATACAGCAAGGAAGGAAAATCTACAATTTTTTAGGTAGACGTCAAAGGATTTGTTTTCAGTTAGTAGGTCGAAACGAACTTTCTTTAGTGGTAGTTGGCTTATGTCATAGGATACTTTATTGGGTGTGAATGGTTTGGTGGACNCTTGTTATATGGTTCTGATGAGGCCGTAACCAAAAGGTCAGGACACTGGACAAGAAGTAAAAAGCTAGAGAAATAGGCAAATAGGTCGCTTTTTCTTCCGCAGATATACTGCATTTGTAGGATAGGATTTAATGTGTTGCTGTCCAAAGGGGTTTATGTTCTAAAGTTGTTAAGCTAACCAAACTCAATTACTTCGTATCATCAACTGGCAAGTTGCTCGGAGGTAGGCAGTACCCCACTCACAAATGAAGGTCATATGAACCCTAGAAGAGTAGTGTTTTTGACAAAAGCCAATTTGTACGTTGGGTTTGAATGCAGGGCGAGTGGATTCGAACCTGGGACCTTTACCTTTCAGCGATGAGGAGTAAGAACGCTGGAGAGATATGCAAATAAGTATACGTTTTCTTTGTTGGATATAGCTGTAAGATTTAAAGGATAAGCTTAAGATGGAAAAGATTTTATATGTTGCTGTCTGAAGAGATTTGTCCTCTGAAGTCAATGAAACTAACCAGACTCAAATGACTCAATCAACTGGACAAGCTGCATAAGAGTAGTTTTGTACCCCAAGGATGGTTTTTTCTACCTGAAAGATGATTAACCCTCCTTTGACAGCCATCTCTCATCTGTTTGTTACATTGCTTAAAAGGTTATTGTTTAGAATACTAACATGGTCCAACATGGTTGCAAAATCTATGACATAAGGAAATAACAAGCTCTGGGGTACAAAACTACCCCAGTGCGACCGCTCAAAAGCTAATATAAATATTCTTTTTGAAAGAAAAAATTCATCATTCTACGACCTGTTGGGGGAATTTTTTTTTTAAATAACAACACATTATTGGATTTGATATATATTTTTCTCCTTTCTCTTGACTTTCATTGTTTACAGAAACTGAAAACAAATGTTCAAATGACTAGATAGCACAATAAATTTCTCCACTAATTTTTAATGGAAGCACATTACAACCACTGGGTAATTTTTATAAACAATTATTTTATTATTACAAATATTATGCTCCTAGTAAACGTTTTTTTTTCTGTAATCAAAAAACAAAACAAAAAATAAAATTCCTAAGGAGGAAAATGAGAGTTTCAATTTAAGCTTTTGCTTCATAAACATTGTGCTTTTTTAAATTTAATAAAATTGTTAAAAATTAATGTACTTATGGAAACAAAATTTAAACATATTTAAAAAAATTATTTACAATAAGATTTACAAATACTTTTCTTTGTTAAATTTCAAAATCCCAAAATTTGTTTAAAAAAATTGTTTTTGTAACCAACCTCCACATTCTCATCTGTTTTGTATATAAATAAATTGAATATATACAATTTTTTTAATAATATATTTAGAATTATTTACAAGTTTCCCTTTTTCGTTTAGATTATATAAAAATAATAATAATAAAACAATATTGCAACTTCTTTCCGGATCCTCATGTTCACATGTTTTTCATTCCCTTGTCGATTTACATAATTACTATGTACCTTTACAATTTGAACAAAAGGGAGAAAAACATTGAAAACCTTTCAGTCCGTCGAGTGATTTCCTTGCAAAAAGAAAATAACCCTGGGCTCTTTTCAAAAATTGGAACAAAACATAACAGAGAAACAAAACGAAATAATTGTAAAAAGAGAGTTAAATACACTTAAATCACAATTTTATATAACTGTTACCACTTTTTGTTTTGTTTTAATGGATAAAAAAATAATAAAACAAACAAAATTGATTTTTTTTTTGGTCAATTTTGATCAAGTAAAAATTACAAAAATGGCACAATAGTTTTGTTCCTTTTGTATCTGATTTATTTAGATTTTAAGTAAAAAACCAAACACAACGGAAAATCATAGATTTTCTTAATAAATTAACTTTTTTCCTTTAAATTATAAAATTCTTTAAATACAAACTTAAAGGTTTTTCTTTTTGTGGCGTTGTTAAAAACAAAAACTTAAATTCTACTTTTCCTCCACCTTCTTACATTTAAGATGAAAACCCAGGAGTTAAATTTTTCTTTTTGGTAGAAAAAACTGTTTAAAAAAAGGGGAAAACCTAAGATTATTTCTAAGGACTAAGAAAAATAACTAAACAATTTTTTTTTAGTGAAAAACAGTTTCATCAAGTGCTCTTTTACAAAAAGAAACAAAAATTTAAAAAAAGAAACCGTGATTTACAATATTGATGAAACTTTACAAAAAAAAAGAAGACTAGAATTTAATTTTTTTAATTATAATTTTTTTTGTTAATATAAGTCAAATTTTTGTTTATTAATACATAAATTTTTTTTAAAATTATTAATTAATACCCCCGGACAAATAAAAAAGTTATGATGCTTCCCTAAAACCGTGTCCTTTGGCACTACCTTAATACTTTTTTTTATTATTAGCCAAAAGCTGAGCGACAATAATCAACAAGCACCCGCAGAGTTATACAAGCAATATCACACGATGTTACGAGACGAGCAAAATGAAATATGAATTACAATATTATATAAAGCACAATTTCTCATCAGAGGGGAGGAATCGAAGAGGTTTTTTTAACCCTCCAAGGAAAATAAAAAACTAACAATAAAAATAAACAAAAAAAGAATTGAGTTGTGATCGATTGAGCAAGAAACCGACGCTTTCATATAATTTAAGCAGCGCCTTTTTTTTTTTTTAATTTCATTTCATTATACGACCTTGAAAAAAATGTAAAATTTATTTTTTAAATATAATATCTATTATTAAAAAAATGAGCTGAGTATTTTAATAAATATCCATGTCTTTATAAAAACAATATTTTTTTTTTAAATTGTGTCAGAGATCCCTAGGTGACTTAAAAAGGCTTGACTTCTAATGTGATTGGTTTAAGGCGATTCAAATGGTGTGATCCTCCAAATGATGGAATGTTACTGGTGCTGACGGACAGATCAGTTCTGTGCCGGTGGACCCTGTTGGGCCATTCGCCGTAAAGGCTGCGGTGTGAAAATGGCCAGCCGGGTGTGATGCGGTGACCCTGGCATGGACATGCTCTCTGAGAGTCGACGTGGGGGAGGTTGCGGAGGTGATGGAGACACGTATCTATAAACGCCAAAATATTTTATAATAGACAAAAAATCACAAACTATGAAAACTGCACTAAACGAACAAACATGAAATTTGTCCACTACTGGGGGGGGGGAATAAATAAATAAAATAAAAAATGGAAGGAAGCTGCAGGGAGCGGTTGCCAAGTGGTTAGGACATCCATCCGACATTTGTCTCATTAGTGGTTCTGGGTTCGAATCCCATCACACCCCATGTTATTTTAATTGTAAATAATATTTAATTGTATTGTTATTATATTTTTTATGAAAATTACAGTAATGATAACGTAACAGAATAGTGTCAGAAGGTAGTCAGCCAATTTCAGTCAGTAGGACAAGGCCTGTTGAGGTGAGACGATAAGTATTTCGTGGCAGGTAAGATCTAGACCCGGACACCACTGTGTTTGAGGTTAGTGGCCTCCCCCCAGGTTCAAGATTAGTAAGAAACAAGGCAAAGGGTTAGTCTATGAGAGGTGATATCACCGGAAGATGTATGTCGTCTCCGCAGAGAAAATCATAGTGCATGGTGTTGATGATACTGGGGTGTAGGTCCCGACGCTATGGGTGAGGCAGGGGACTCCTGAAGAGGATGGTGCTGATCACAGTGGTTGTCGTATGTTTCTGTTTTTATAAGTTTAATTTATAAACAGTAAATTTAGTTTGTTTATGTTATGGTGTTACTTTTTTGTTTGAGAAAAAATGACCCTAATTAACATTCTTTGTATTTAGGTCAATTTGCATAGTATAACTTTGGGGCCAGTATGTCTATCAGCTGTGGTTCGGATCTTGGATATCTTTGCTTTTTATTTGTATCTTTAGAATGTCGGTAGTGACTGAGCTACCATTAAAGGTGCATACAGCCGATGAAAGGCATCCAATATATTGGACCAAACATTGGTCGCCAACATTGGCCATCCTCATCCTGGGTCGGGACCATTGGATTCGGCTATGTGGAAGAATTGCAGTTGGATCTAAAAACAAACAAAATTTATACACTTCATCAGCACCACTTCCGGTTTTGTTTTCTTCTCCTTTTCACGGTGAAAAGATGTCAATAAATATTACATTTTCTTTTTCAAACTACCTTCTAAAAGCTCACTTATTTCCTTCCAAGCACTTAATCTTTTCAATTTGTTTTTATATTCACAGTTCATAAACCGATCAGTTTTAGTGCTGTCTCTTTATTCCACTCAAAAGTCCAGTATTTTTCAGCACAACTAAAGATCAAGCCGGCGTTTCCTGTACACATTAAGCAAATCATTTCCTTAGGTGTACGCAACTTAACAGTATAAGCTCAATGGGCTTGGCTCTCTGTAGTGCACCCCAAGAAACAGGCGGCTGCCAACTGGTGCTGGCCATCTCTTTATTTTCGTATGGTCGTGGTGGGTCTGGGTTTTTATGAATTCACGGCGTTTTCTATGCTTAGGTTTATTTGAGTGCTGTTTTCGACCTGTGTTCATCGTTTTTGGATCCACTCACCAGCAGCTTCATTTTAGTGCAAAGTTCGACAAATGACCCTCACTTCACAGAATGTGAAAATCAGGTAAGTTTCATAAAAAATATTGCTTTATTTTCTACAGCTTTCTCCATTATTCGTGCATAAAAATACCAAATACTTTACAAATTAGTTCAAAATAATATAAAAATATACTTTTTGCTGTTTATAGTATGTATTTATCCTAAATTGTGTTCTGTTTTGTTAAAGTTTATCTTGGGAATAAAGAATTGTTTCCATAATTTTCATTTGTGACAAATCACATATTTATATAATTACTATATGTAAAAAATATATAGAAAAAAAATAATAACAGCATGTTAATTTTTTTTTAAATAACTGATTTATTCTGTTTATGTAAATTATGGTTTTAAAATGTTCAACTGTTTTAAATGTTTTATATAATTTTATTAAAAAGAAGATTGTATTATTTCTTGTTTTTTTTTTTTTTATATCATTTGCTTTTTAGAAAGAAGAAAAGAAGGAAAAAAAATAAAATAAAAAATAAATAAATAAAATTAAAAATGAAGACTAAAGTCATAAGACTAAAACTATTTCAACAGGTAGTAAGTACAAAAATTTTTAGTATTAATTTTCTTTAGTTAATAGGTTTTATACATTGAAAAAATATGAAATATTTTGTGGTGATTCTTAATTTTTGTTAAATCATATGTGTATCACAAACTAGTGCTGTTTGTGTCCATAACACATTTATTCCATTAAGTTTATACTTTTATTTCATTATTTTATATTATATAAATTTTCCATAACGTAAATATTTTTATTAATTGTAATCCAGTTTTATTAAATTGTTTGTTTTATAACACATATTTTAATGTTGTTTGTTTTAATATATTTATAATTAGGTTGATTTTTTTGTTTACTGCATATTGTTTTTTTTTTTTCTATTAGTTGTTCTATAATATAAGTTTCATTTGGATGGTCCTATGCATAATCATTAATTTAATATGTGAAATTGTTTATATTATTTTTAATTGCTTATATAATATTTTTATAGTATAAAATATAAGAAAATTATAATATTGCTTAATAAAAAATATATCACAATGTTGAATTTTAATTTAAGCACCTAAGAAAAAAAATAATAACAGGTAATAACAGCATGGTAATTTTTTTTAAATAACTGATTTATTCTGTTTATGTAAACTATGGTTTTAAAATGTTCAACTGTTTTAAATGTTTTATATAATTTTATTAGAAAGAAGAGTGTATCCTGTATGTATTTGATATCCTTTGCTTTTTAGAAAGAAGAAACTTCATGGAGGCCAAAAAAAAAAAATAAATAAATAAAAATAAAATAAAAACATAAAGACTAAAGTCATAAGACTAAAACTATTTCAACAGGTAGTTGATCCCTCATGCATGACACCCCTGTTTGGACATTAAGCCTCTTGTGTAAATAAATAAAAAAGGCCCTGCCCCATGATGAAAATATTAAAGGGGAAAGCTTTGCTTCTGTCGGCTGTTTTTATGACATCAAAGAATCCACCATTAGATCATCAAGAGTAAAGAAATAGTCCATCAGGCGGGGAAGCTACTTCAGCAGCTTCACCAAAAGAATTTGATTAGAAAAAAGTTTGCAGTTTAACACGGATGTCGATGTCTCAAATCAAAACATGGAAATTTTCTGGATGGCTCGCCGATTACATAAATTTCTATCTTTTTTTATTACCAATGCAAGAAACGTTTTTCACCTGAAGAGATGTGATGTCCCAAGGTTGTAGTCTAAAGGGATGAGGAGTTCAGGACTGTTGGGTAGGTCGGGTAGAAGTTTGATTCCACACATTTTGAAGTATTTTTCAGGATGACCAATCAGGGTATGACTTCTTCATGCATTGCAAATATCATTCCTATGGATTTGTATAAGTAGAAAAAGCTTTAAAGAAGTGTCTGCGGCCAGTATGAAAGGGGTTCGGTTATAAAAGCGTTTAAAATGCATTGAAATCCTATCTTTTTTGTTGGGGCCATGCAAACATGTTAAGAGAGATTTCACTATATGTTTTTCTTTTTACCTCCTGGTTAAAATTGGAGATGAAGTTAAATCTGCTTCTAAATGGTTCCGTCGCGTCAGTAAAGGCGACGCAGTCCTATTGACCCTCGGGGGAGGTTCAGGTCCGGTGTCGCTGCTAGAGCTCGCCGAACCGCCGCCGCAACCACCGAGTCGCATGCGCAGATAGGAAGAGAGTTTTCTCCGTGTCCCTGCGGAGGAGGGCGGTGTTTCATCCGTGTTTTTCATTCCGTTGTAGCTCAATTGACGACAAGGTGACACCGAAGTTGACCTAAAATATCACCTTAGACAAATAAAAAGAGGATAAATTTTTTTATAACTCACCGATGGCGATGTGCTTGTTGATGATAAAACCGTTGGAGTATGAGAGGAGAAGTGCTTCCACCTCCTCCACCCCCTCTATCATAACCACCTCCACCGCTGTCAATATATCCATTTATATTCTGCCTTCTCCCCAATAAAGGTGAATTTAACCTTAAACAATAAAAAAACTGTATAAAGGGAATTAGAAAACATAAGTAACTGTTGAGATTTCCTGCTTAGGTCTGTGGGGTGATAAATAGTTTTTTGTTTCTGGTCATCCTGATATGCTGTTTTGTTGTGGGTGTTTGTCTCTTCGGCAAGAAAGAAGAATGAAGAAAAAGTCAGCACAATAGATGTGTTTCAGCAAATACACGAAGATAATAAGACCGAAGAGGGGAGGCGGAAGCTCCCAATATCGATAACAAAAGAAAAATAATAATGATAAAATGAAATAAATAAAGGTTTTTAGAAAAGATGGGAATTTTCGTTCTTGAAGAAAAACACGTGTGATCCAGCTCATAAAATAAAAATAAAATTGATAATAGATAAATATACATAAAAAATGAAAATAGATAAATAAAATAGATTAGTCCTAAGATACCAGAGAAAAAAAGAAGAAAATAATTTGCTCAGATTTTATAATATGTTATATATCCCTCAATTTTTTTAAAATATAAAATGTTTAATGCTGTTAGATACATAAAAAGTTACAGAAGAGGAAAAGATGCTATCAGTAAGAATTTTTTTTTTACTATTCTGATTCATTTACACCCTTTAAAACAATAGAATTTATCCACTTCGGGGTGGCGGTGTTTTTTAAAAAAAGCCCATTTTTAAGTATGTCGGGTTCGAATGCAGGGCCACTGAATTCGAACCGGGGACCTTTACCTTACGCTTAAACAGCGACAGCCACCGAGGCCTCAAAACCAATATTTAAAGTAATAAATTTAAAGCTCTGGACTTGGACATTAAAGAAAAAAGTAAAATAATTAAATAATTAAGGCTCCAAATTCTTTTTATATTAATTAATACAGTAGTAATTTTGAACATATTTAATGTTGTAATTTGCTTGTTACTAATCATAATGTGCTTCCTGTACCCAGTGTGCTAAGTCTGTCAGAAAAGTTTTTTTTTTTTTTAAAAGATGAAAGGGGAGTGTGTGAGCATTATGTATATGTGATAAATTATAGCTACCTGTAATTTGCAAAATTTGATGGTGCACTGGTTGACCCTGCAGCAGAGGAAACATCAGAGAGTGATCTCTGATGGCCCTGACTTCCAGTTCTTAAAAAAATAAATGAAACAAAATATGTATAATTTTTTAAAAATGTGTTTTATATTGACTTACCTATGTATCGGGGATGGAGAGACTGGTGTACACCTTGCATACCATGAAGCGACGTCAACAGTTTCTTCCATGTACTTTCTTAAAAAAGCATGTTCCAAAAGTTTCCTATACTTAGGTCTTACTCTATAGTCTTTAGAAAGGCTGAAAAAAAATCATATTAATTATAATATAGGGATTTCAAAATGAAAATTGATACATACCAGGATTTAACAAAATCCCGAAAGTGAGGTGAGAAGTCCTGATCTTCAGGCAAACTAGGTGGTTCATCCTGAAGCACTCTAGACAGGACCTCAAAGTCCGATTCACAGCCAGGATATGGGAAAACACCGGTAGCTAGTTCGACAAGGGTAATCCCTAATGACCATACATCTGCTCTGATGTCGTAAGTTGGCTGTAGAGGGTCAGGTGGGTTTATTCTTTCCGGCTGTAAAAGAACAAACCAAAATTATTAATGGCTCAGTGTGTTTTATGTTCCGTAAGAGTCTTATTATGCAATGTAACTATATTAGTCAAAATTGAATTTGTAATTTGGCCGTTTCAGATAAATTTGGTCTGCCTATCTGGATATTTTGGTTTTTCACCATCTTCATTGGTAGGTTTCTGTTATATTGTCAGTTTTGGTAACGGGCAAATCCATTGTGGTCTGGCAGGCCACAAATCTGGACCAAGGGAAGTTTGACCGGGACACCTATCATCCCTGAATCTTGACAGCACACCAAATTACTTAGAACATAATACCATCAGGTAATATGTTAAAAAAGGGGCCTTGGTTCAATGGGAATGAATTCCAGGACAGAGGCATATGGAAAAAAAAAAAAAAAAAAAAAAAAAACACGAATTTCTAACAAATAATTTGGCTATTTTGTGCATTTTCTTATATGAATATTTTATATGTTTGAATGGCTCGTAGATTAAAAAGCTCCATTCCTTTTTTTCAAATGGTCTATCTGGCATTAAAATCTTTTAAGCCGGTTTGAACTATAGCTGTTTCAATCAAATATTACAATAATGACATCAAAAATAGAAAAAATTTATGGGTCAAAAATTGATAAATTTAAATTCAAGCAACAATTTATGTTCGGGTAACTGTAGAGGTGCTAAAACATTAGTTTTTGATCAAATCAAAGTTATTAAGGTAAGTTAGTTATCAAACTTTGATAACTTTTAACATATTTTTATTGCAATTTACATAAAAAATGCTGTAAAATGATATATTCACATAGTTGATTTGAGAAAGTAAAATGGTGAAATAAAAATATTAAAACCCAATATATTTACAATGTTTTTTTGTTTTTTTCCCAAAAACATTGGCACTCTGAGGATTCATTTAACCTTCTAGTTGAAATACCCTTGTTAAAAATAAAATAATTTAAAAAAGTTCCTTTTTTTTTGCGAAACCAGAGCTTATTCACAAGAAGGTGATCTCTTGAAGTATATGTTCACCAAAAAATGTTTGGTGCAATTCCGTGACCCACCAACCTGGTCGGCCACTTGTAAGAAGAGAATTGTTTGAAGACGGCTTTGTAAAAAATTTACCTGCTTATTCTGGGAAACTTTTTTAAAAATATTTTTATTTTATGGTGAAAAAGGAAATGTTCGAAAAGAAATTACGACTGTAATTGTAATAAGCTTTATATCCTGTGCTGATACATATTGCACCATAACAAATACACGGTGTTAAAACATTTTGTCCTTTTTTCCATATTGGCCTTTTAGTTTATTTTAGATTATAATATATTAAATCTTGAATATAGCTTATAAAAAGCAAAAACTATCATAAAAGCTGGAATAAATAGTACAAGTGAGTATATGGCATTTATTGTGTTATATCCCTGTCCCTATTCTGATGCTAGCAGCAAATATAGTTCAGTTGTTGTTCCTCAATTTCAGGCCATGGGTTGGGGGTACTCCTGCCACTACAGTGTGCTCTCTATGCAACTCAGGTGATCGTGAGGATGCATTTCAATTTCTCGCTAGATCCTCAGTCCTTAACGGACTGAGTTATCTGTTTGTGGGTAAGGGTTTTCTGGCGAGGGAAGAGCTTATAGCCCTTCTGAATGGCTGAGATTGCCAGGGTCTTGTTAATTTTGCTCGGAAAGCTTGGTTTTACAGATATGATTATATTGGAATGTAGGGAATTAATATTCTGTTCGTCTTATTTTGTTTCCTTTTTTGCTCTCGCAGGTAATACATATAATTTCTACTTTGTGGGCTTCTAAATGCAAACTCTGTTTGCCGGTGGGGGACCCTTTGTGAGTTGGAATCCTTGCTTTGGTTCTTTGAAGTGTCATTTTTATAATTTTCAAAATTTATCGCATTTCAATCTTGTAATTTGAAAATCCTGTAAATAATTGTAACCTCTGAAGTTGATATTTTAAATTCTCCTTTTGTTATAATTACATAATTATGTATATTCTTGGAATAGTAATGCACTCTGAACTCTGGCTGACGGTCTTAATACCATGTCATAATAATACTGTTTTTTATTTTTAACTCTAAATTTTTTTCATTTTGTAAATAAAGTATATCTATCTATTATCTAGTTATTACTTTTTTTTTTTTTTAATTGAAAATATGCATTATGCAAATATGTTCATACCTAGGTAAATGGACACCAATTAGTAAACAATAATTTCCCACCCCTAAAAAAGTAATGGATTGATTGCATTGAAGTAAGGAATTGGGAAAGACAAAAAGCTAGAAGGCTGCAGTGCTTGGGAACATAAAGCCCCCACATCATTATCATCATCATCATCATCATTGATATGTGTCAACCCAGTTATAAAAATGTTGACATGTTCTCGTTTCTCAATCAAACTTACAAATTAATACTTACAGCTAGATAAGCAGTGCATCCTGCATTTTTTGTGTCGGCTTTTGAATTGACAAGATGTCCCGATATGCCGAAGTCGCATAGCTTCACGTTGCCCCTGTTGTCTAGAAGGATGTTGCTCGGTTTGACATCACGGTGTATAACACCGTGCATTTCTTTCAGATAGTGTAGCGCTCTTACAGTCTGTAATGAAATTATTTATTTTTCCAAATAATTTTTGTATTTGTTAGAATTTTAACTTACAGCAAGTGTGACTTTTCCGACGATAGGTTCTGGGATGGGTGCCGTGAGCCTTTTGAGCAGCTTATCAAAACATGTAGACATGAGCTCCATGCAAATCCATACTTCGGCATCTGTTATAAAACAGCCAAGGCACTGAACGATATAAGGGCAGTCGTGAGATTTTAACACAACTTCGAGGTCCATTGCTATCCTCTTGTTTTCTTCAGGATTCCCCGACCTCCTCATTTGCTACAATAAAATTTATATCTAATCGTTCAAATCATAAATAAAAAATAATAATATTACTTTCACTGCGATGATCTCCTGGCTAGGAACATGGAGCATTTTGAATACGTGGCCTGACGTTCCGAAACCCAGTTCTCCCATCTCTTTTAAATCGTTCATCGTACTTTGATATCTCTAAAAAATGAAACACGTTAACATTTTTAATTACAATTTAAATTGAATAATTTAAGTACTTACAATGCCGTTTATCCTTAATATTCCAGACAATTTCATAATTTCTTTAAGTTTTCGTTCAATAATATTGTTGTCTGGGGTTTTCGGCTGAATTAGGTTTGTACCGGGAAGGTCGAATTGCCTTCTGCTTCTAGTCGGAGTCCCCATATCGCCAACTAAAATAAGCAAGCATTTCAAATTTTGCATTTTTCAATTATAAAGTGAACAAATATCAATTTAACAAAACTTAATACTAGTAACAGAAAAATGCAAAAATCAATCATATAAAATGTATTGTACATTTTAATAATAAATCTGTCCGTTCAAAATAAATAAATAATAAATAACTAATAGGGTAACTAATAGTAAAGTAAAATATAAGTAAAGTGGAAACCCGTTTATCCAGAAGGATTATCCGAACCAGTTTGTTACAATATTTTTTATAAATTATTTGGAGATTGTGAGATGTGGTTTGGTATAGTAGTGTATAGTGTTAGTGGGATAGTTCCACGATCTCCAAATAATCATTAATTAACAGTCACTAACACCACACATTTTTTTATAAATTTTTCATAATTCTCAATATATGTATATTAATTTTTTAAAATTCATAATTCAACTATGGGACCTTTAATTCATCGTATGAAATTCGTAAACACCACCAAATCGCCCTTCCACTAGTCACAAAATTGAAGAGGATGGAGAGGCCGATTTAAAAATAAAATTAAATTTAATTTAAAAAATTAAAAAAGGTGTTGAAAGACTAGAAATTGTTGTTAGAAATTGTTCGTATGTTAGCTTCCATTGAAAAGATTTTTTTATTAGGTATTTTTATGTATAAATTTCTCAAGAAATGCATGTCCAGACTTAAATAAAAATAAAACTAATAAAAATGATCTATTACTTTAAATGTAAGATGATACACGAATAAAAGTGTTCACATTTGTATGTGTTTTTTGACACGAAACTAATAAAATCACAAATTTTTGGATTATCTGGACTTTCGATCATCCTGACAAGCCCGGTCCCTTCAAGTCCAGATAAACGGATTTTTACTGTATCATGTCAGTCTAAAAGCACAAATTGACTATTGTTGGATTAACATCATCCACTTAATCTGACAAAATTTAGACATGTGTTTGACCAAAACAAACAGCAAAAATAACTATAGTATATTATCAATATAGGGATTTTTTTTTTTTTTTTTTTTTTTTTTTTTTTTTAATATTGAAGTTTACGAGTTTGATGTAAGAACATCATAAGAAACAAAACAATGGTACAATAAACAATTTTGTAAATTTAATTAATATGTATGAAAAGTGTTTCAATAATTTCAAAATAAATGTTTTATATTAGCATATTAACTAAGTTATCAGGAAGGAGATAAAACAAAACACGAAGAATATCTATCTTTTATCATTTTTCATAATAAATATGTAAAATTATAACATTTTTTCAACAAATTGATTTTTGCAGTTGTAAAATTGGCTCCGAATAATTTAAAAAAAATATATGTAACAGTGACCAATATAATTACACAATTTCTGCTCTTATTACCTAAATTAAATCAAGATTTTTTCAACTACTTTAATATACTTTAGTAAATATAGTTTAAATATAGTTTATTAGAGTAGAAATGATTGATTTAGTAGATAGTAGATCAATTCACTTTTTGGAAAGGAAGAAAAACAAACAGTTTATGAGTAGAACCGTCCATTCAAAAGAGCGCATCTTCAGTGTGTCTAAAATGAATATCCGACTGATGATGTCAAAATGTTGAAAACTGTCTGAGAGACCAATTAACACGCAGTCCAAAATTATTCATAACGACCAAATTTCATAGAAATCAAATTGCTACAAGTGTACAATAGTCTCTCAGACTCAATATCAAGCGTTAAATATTAAAATGATCAGAAACGAAAATAATTCTATTATAACATTGTTGGAAAAAGGTTTTTAAACTATTTTTTATATTACACAATTTTTTCAAAATGAAAAATTTGTGTGCGAGATTCAAACCCATGACTTTCAGCTAAATACGCCACTGCTCTACCACTTGAGCTATCGTGACTTCGATCCACCCGGACACTAACTTTCCATTTCGATTCCCCGATTTTATTCCAACTATTAATGATTGTACATTAGTGGGACCGTGTACAATTCACAGGTGTAATTCTAGATTAATACTAACTTTTTAATTATTTTTCTTAATTATTTTCGTTAAACTATTAAACTTGTACGATTACAGGAATGTTTTGAGTCATTAATAACGTGGATTGATGATGATCAGTTACGATCAAAGCTGAGACCAAGGTTCAAGTTTTGAATGAATTCTAATTTGATAACTGTGTAAAGTAGGTTTACAAAATTACTATTGACTCTTACTTCACAGAAATTATGAAATTTTGTTTTTCTGATGTGGATGGTTGTTGGGGAATATAAATATAAAATAATTATCATATTATTGTAAATAATTAAATAAACTGTTTTTATAAACCGCTGGGAAAAAATATAAATAATTAAGTATTAATAATGCCAGAAAAACTATATTTTATTTACATATGTTTTAAAATTTGATTCCTGTTTGTGAACATTGAAAATATGTCCTTTTTGATTAGTCATAACAGATCATTTTGGTCATCATCCCTATACTCACTATGTTGGTCTCGCAGATCAATTTTGGTGTTTGCACACTATACGCTGATTTTGTGGATAAGTCTTTGTATTTCTTTTTGTAATAATTTTTGACCAAATCGATTATTTCAAATTTTTGCCTCGTCCAGGGGATTTGGGTCAATGATAATCAACTCGCTGCAAGTATATAATATTCTCTCACACTCAAAGAAATGTGAAGCCTAATGCAACCAGAACCAATATGATTATTGAAAATATTCTATTGCACTATTGAAAAAAGAGGTCTTAACTTTAGCATTTAAATGCTCCTCATCAAGTTGAATGAGTTACGATGTTCAACCTGATGGTGAGCATTTAATGCTCGAAATCCAGATAGTTGTCAACAACAAATCTGTGAGTAGAATCACCTTTTACAAAATCTATACACTCACCCCACCTTCATCATTTCTATTAAGGAGGTTTTAATTTTTTTCTGTTAAAAACTATACATTATTATTTAAGTTTTCTTTTACACGGGTTCACAGTAGGAAAGGTCATATCAACCCTCGGGTTGTCAGAATTGTTGGAAAAAAATATATGTATGTAGGGTTCGAATGCAGAGCCGCTGGATTCAAACCTGGGATTTTTGCCTTACAGTGATGATCACCGTGACGCTATAACAGTTGCAGCCACCGACGCCCCAAATAAACATTTTTATAGTCTAAATTTCAAAACCGAGTTTAATAAACTTAACTTTTGATATTTTAAAACAACCAGGTCAAAACCATGTTTTCGATGGTTCTAGTCTGCCTATCCTCGCCTCTTTTTTCTGTCAGATATATTTTATTATTTCATCATCTTGTGTATATCCGTCTTTGTATTTCTTTAATCGATCGTCCAAGCCGATAAATTTATTCCAAAGTGATGTGTCACTGTATAAATGAAATGTGAAATAAGACCTAAGAAGGGGTATTGCTAGAATCTTCTCTTCCTGTCATTTCAGTTTTCTTCAAATAAACCAACTATTCGTCAACTTTTTATTTTTTTTACAGATTTTTTTCGCTTCCCCCGAAAGCTAATATAATATTTTAAATATTTTGCGCGATAAATGCAATTTTACATAAAAATCCTTCAAATGTGCGATATTGTTCAAATGTACAATTTTATGCAATATTCATCAAATATGCAAAAATATCCTTTATAAAATTTACCCTACAGCTTCCTAGATATATGATTCAGATAGATAATTGATTTCCTTTATGTGGTGGCAAACAAAATATGAAAATGTATAAGAATCCAGTCTCTAAGCATAAGTTTAGAATATTTTATTGCCTTCTAATTTTATAATTATGTAAAAAATTACTATTTGATTCTTTTACTTGGCAAGGATTGACCTTTTTTTTATAGCATGAATGGTTGTTGAGCAATAGTAATATTATAATAATTCAGTGTTTATAATGGTGGAAATATATATTTCTGTTTATTTCCTGTGAACTTTGAAAACAAGTCCTTTCTATGTTGTAAAGTTATGTTTTATTGGAGAAAAGAACTATGTTGCAAGAGAGAGAGAACTGTACAGGTGCGATTAACAGTGAAAATAAACAAATAACCAGGAAACGACGAAGGAAAATCTTTTGGAAAATTGATTAAACTTTATGAAAATGACATGTCTGAATTGAAATCGCTGGGAAAAATTAGGAAAAAATCGAGTCAACCTAGGGAAAAATCAGTCGACTATTGACAGTTGGCCCGTCAGCCGACAGTTTACCAATAATAAACGGGCAAAAAGCGTTTATTTGAAAAACAAAACGTTTTATTTTTAGATAGTCCAACGCGTCAATAGGATCGCGGACGTACAGAAATGAAAAATCCATTCTTTAATTAATTTATAAAGTTGGGAAAAATGAACATTTTCCACCGGATTGTAGGTTAGATTGCTGAAAGTTAGTTACGTTCGCTTGGCCTCCTGGAGGCTCCGTTCCTCGGGCTTGACAGCATAAAAGGGCTCCTTTGTTTTTCCACCGGCTCATTTCCCGGCTGGTTCTGCTGGTGAGCTTTCAGGATGCAGCTTTCTTCGAACGGGCTTTCCATAACTGTATTGATAAAAAGTTCACTCCACGAGAGTCACCGCCATTCTTATCAAAATCACTCCCCTGGCGAAGCTGGCGACACCTACAAAGTCCCGCTTCCATTTGAAATAATGAAGTTTAATTATTACATTGGACTTTCATCAAGAAAAGCATACTGGAGCTTTATTCGTGTTGGGCATTTGACACAGTTTGGCATACTGGGCTATATTTTTTATTCGGAGATCGTGAGATGCGGTCTGGTGTGATGTAGGTTTCAGAAAACATTTTCTTTATAGTACCAACTTTTCGATCTTTATTGAGATCATCTTCAAGGCCTGGGATTTATAAACATTGTTTTAACTTTAAAACGTAGGATATGAAAAAATGAATTGTTCAAATTGATCTAAATGAGTATTCCCTTAGGCTGACTTGAACGCTCGAATGAATCTGACATGCAATTCGCTTCTAAAGTAAACACTCTCATTGGAAAACAAGTATTTGTTTGTTCGAACGAACTCGTCTGAACAAAATTTTGTCAGAATTCGCATCCATAGTAACCGTAGCCTAAGGACGTTCTTAAGATAATAGACTCATACCTCACCGGGCGAAGATTTGTAATATTATTCCAAGGCGTGGAATAGAGGATAAACACTGTGGCTGCTGGAATCACGCAAGGTTCTGTTTTGGGACCAACTTTGTTTTCAGAAACGACTTGCCCAGAATTCCAGGCGTTGAGCTGGCTCTATTTACGGATGACACTGTACTAAGAAGAAGAAGAAAATAAACTTTATTCTGCCACTTAAACCCCCTGATGACAGTACGTTTTCGCCAGTTCAAAAGTGGCACATAGTGCTGTCTAGGAGGTACGAGTCCACCTACTGTTATGTCATTTTCCTGTAGCATCACACACCTGAATAATTAAAAAACTAAATAATCCGGTTTTTATAATTTTTCAAATTGTGTCACTTTTCCTGTGGGTGTGCGATATTAGTACATATTATAAATGTGACACAACGAGTTTTTCCATACGGTCAACAATAACACTAATAACAGCACTCGGATGAGAAACGAGCCAATGCTGGCACTCAGTATGAGGGATTTAGGTACAAGATCTCGAAGTTGGATGCTCTTAACGTTAAATGGCTTGGCACAAACTCAAAGTTCCAGTCCATGGTCGCAAGTAAAGTCTTGTATAATGTTTGTTTACTAATGGCACTCCACACGATTTTTTGTCCAAAAAGTGTTCCTAGTTTTCCAAGTCTTGTAAGCTGTTAACTCATAAGTCTTGTGGAGATTCCATTTCGCTCAGTTCTGTTTGCTGTCTAGGTAGATATCTCTTTGCTGTTGATGAACAGTGGAGGGCATGATTATGATTTCAATGTGAATGTACACTGAGTACATTTTTCTTCATTCAGCCTTGTCTTCCACTGTTTGTAATAGTCTTTGATAGGCACAAGGTGTTCGAGTTAGCTTGAATGGGATTCGAGTTAGGGGACAAAATTGCGGTAATAATAGGTGATTTAGAGGATGGGACTAAGAATGCTCCTTTCTGGTATGCCGACTTGTATCGGAGTGATTTCCGAGAACTAGTTACCTCACTCCCAAGCTACGGTCGGTTAGGTAGGATTTCAGGATGTTGTCCAAGTCTTGTTACATTGTTATCTCTGGTGTCAACGGCGGCCCTCCAGGACATTACAGGCTCCCTCCAATAGATCTGCACGCCAGGTGCTTAAAAGCAAAGTGAAACTTGTGCTGAGGAAAGGTCCCGATCATCCCCGCAAACACCGCTAAGAAAGTCATGGATGGGGCTTAACAGTGTCAACAAAGATGGGAGACCTCGAGTAAGGGCCGCTACACCTTCAAGATATTCAGCGACGTCCGCGAACATTCCAAGACGAGACCTGGAGGTCAGTCACTACAGCAGATGTTGACATGCCATGGTGACTTCGCCAGCAAATGCCACGAATTTAGGCACAAGGAGTCGCCATTGTGCCAATGTGGAATGAGAGAGACGGCCGGGCATGTATACCTGGAATGCCCAAGATATCAGGACCTAAGACGACAGTGGTTGGATGGGGTCGGAACGTGATGGGTGGCCTCATTTGAAGTTCTGAGGGTTTTATGTCCTCATTAACCCACAATTAACGAGGTTGCATAGATGTCGAAACCATTTTCTCTAGAGTAATTTCTTCTAGAGAAAAAAAGAGTGTTTCTTGGGTAGTGTACTTTGGAGAGTTCCTTAGGACTACAACTAGACAGCAGACCTACGTGGAATTCTCACCCAAGGCTTAAGAAACAACAACTAAACAGAAGACTTTGACAACTACGAAGAATTCTAAAATCGAAATCTGTCTTGACCGTCAAAATTAAACTAACCTTATTACGAAGCATTACTTCGATACTTTGGACAGGGTAGAACTTTGCGCTTCTGCCAGGACACCAAACATCCAGCGCATCCAATCCAATTCAAAAGTCTTCAGACAAATTGTCTAAGCACGTTACTATATCGCTAGCCTCACAATCAACGACCTCAACATTCCTTTTGCCTACGATCTGATCCGTTTCCGAATCCAAAAGTTTCACACCGATCTCCCGATCCATCCTAACCCTACTGCTTGAACCATCCCTAACCATCACTACATATTCCTATCCCGAGGCCCGCCACTTCGCCTTGATCGACGATGACCTCGTGACCAGACATCTTAATCACTCATGAGAGCGGTTGCTGGACATATGGTTAGTGCTAAGGCTACAAGTAAAACATTTAAAAAAAATATTTTCTTACGCAAATGGATTTTCAGCAACGTCATTTTTGTAATCCTAGCGTTTCTTACTGATCGTCTCTAATTAATCTTTTTCTATAAAATTAACAAATAACCTTTTTCTACTCGGCTTACAATTTGATTAAAACCTTAAATGAAAGATATCCTATTAGAAAAGTACGGTGTGCAATTTTGCATGTAATAACCAACGTAATTGCCACTTATTATGCCATCTTTCCTAGTGAATCCTCTTATGCAATGAAAATTAACTTTAGGTTAGTAAGTGCTTAGAGAAATGAGGCAAATTCAACCAATTTAAATTTTTAGATTGAGCCATCTTTGAAACAAGATTTTTTTTGCCATCGTAAAACGACAATTGCTTTCAAGCTGTTTTTGTCATATCCGCTTCTTCTTTTTTTACTAATTTTGGCCAATTTTATCGCTAAGAAGGTTAAAACTTTTAACCTTAAAAGTCCGTTTCAGGTCAGACTGGGCGTTGCACCTGCCTATTAAAGGCCCCAGAAAAATATTTCATTCTAAGGCCGCTTGAGTCCTGTTTCTGACAATCAGCCGTATTAGTTTCTTGAGGGTCGATTAGTGAAATCTAGCCAAAAGGTTTCAACACGGACCTGTTGGGCAAACAGCATTTTTTGGAAGATAGATTAATTAACCTTGCAATGTTTAAATAATAAGCCCAATATAAAATCAGTTTTTTTGTTCGCCTGTTCACCATAAGAAGGAATGAAATACGAAATCCTTTTGCGATCATCTTCTAGCTTTATTAAAATGATTACTTTTGACGAGAAACTCACATTCAAACTTAAACCTGTTTTAATTTGGAAAACAAATAATAATTCAAAAAGTCGAGGTATAGACAGACAATATAACTACTAGCCTGGGCCAAATGTTTACCTTTCCTTTAAATACCAGTATTAACAACTCATTTGTATTTTACATAATACCGCGATTATTCGGCCGATTAAACCAGCTAGAAGGAGATGTTTTATGTACCTAGCTATATTTATTTATATCCCCATTGTACAATCGAACAGGCACAACTGCCAATTACAGAGAGGTTGGAAGGGTCAATGTTATCCCGGCGGATTCTAAAGGTTCTTGAGTACATAATATACAAGAAAATGATGCAATTATAAGTTGCGAAAGTAAAATTTCAGACCCAACAAGGATCTCGTTAGGTCCTTGTTTTACTATCGAATCAGTGATAAATCAATTTACTACATTCAAACATTTTTCCACAGAAATTTTTTTTTTGTGTGTGCCTCCCCACTGTGTATATCTGTATGTATTTATACGTAGTGGAGAGGCACGCACAAACAAAAACAAAATTATTTCTCGTCGCCACACGATCCTCAAATATGTGTACCTTAACGATTTAAAGGTTAAAAGTCAATTGAATCGCTTTTATAGTTCATTTCACTCTCTCCCTCCTTCCTTCTTTTCATCTCTCTCTCTCTCTCCAACTGTTTATCTGCATTTCTTTCTTTCTCCCTTTCTCTCTTCTTTCTCACACACACACACACACACTCTCTCTCTCTCTCTCTCTCTCTCTCTCTCTCTTTGTCTTACTCCCTTTATATATCTCTCTCGCTCTTTCTCTCTTCCTTCTCTCTAGCTCTTTCTCTCTTGCTCTCTCTCTCCCTCTCTCTCTCTCTCTTTCTCTCTCTCTCCAACTGTTTATCTGTATTTCTTTCTTTCTCACACTTTCTCTCACTCTCTCTTTGCCTTACTCCCTTTATCTCTCTCTCTCCCGCTCTTTCTCTCTTCCTCTCTCTCTCTCTCTCTCTCTCACACCTTTTGTCTGTTCGATTGTCTGTCTCTCCCTTTTTATCTATCACTAACCCTCTTTTTCACTGTCTACATACATGTTTCTTAATTTGTATTTGCATAATTCTTTAAACTTTCTTTATATACATACTCTCTTGAATCTTTGTTTCATTTTTACCTTCACTCGCTCTCTTCATTTTCCTCAGTCTTTCTTTCCTTCTCTCTCCTCTCCATCGGTTTATCTGCCCCTCTTTCTTTCTACTCTTCTTTCTTACACTCCACTTTCCCCATTTTGTCTGATTCTCTCTCTCACTCTCTCTCTCTCTCGTCGTTTATTGCTTTGTCTATACTATCTCTCTACCTCTCTTTTAATAAGTGTGTGTGTTTTTATTATTGATCACTTATCTGTCTTTCTTTCTCCTTCTCTCTCGTCTTTCTCACTCTCCCTCTCTCTCTCTCTCTCTCTCTCTCTCTCTCTCTCTCTCTCTTTGTCTTTCTCTCTATATATATATA